CCCTCCCACCCTGGGAGCTAAAGGGAGAGAGGGATCTCCGTCTTCTTGGCTACAGCAACATATGTGAAGTTTATGCCGCATTAAGCTGGGAAAGGGGAAGGAGAGAGTAGTCTTGGTTCAAATACCACAGACTCTCACATTTCTTATCAACTTTTTGTAGGTTTTCTTGAATAGATATTTCTTCATTTGCTGTTTGCCTTTAGGACCATTTCCAGAGGCTTTGAATTAGCTTGCTTTTAATAATTTTCACCAGTTTCTCTGAGGAGCAGGCTGACAAAGCTCCTCACGTGGTTATGCAGGAAATACAGCAACCCTTAATTTTAATGGATTAATTCATTGCTAACTTACAGCAGAATGGCTGTGGAGTATATGTCATTAACGCCAAATGGATTTGCAGCAACTAGTAGCATAGTATGGGATCTCCAACTAATAACAAGATGCTTGTGGTGAAATGCTGATTTGCTGTGGTGAGATCACAGGCACTAAGGGAAAATAACTCATAGAAGGTTTGGGTTTGCCAGTAATAGGATAGACACTGTACAGTAACATAAGTGATTAAACCTCAGAAACTCAACCTGTGCGATACGAGCTTTGAAGAAGCTGTAAACCAATTAGTCTTTTTATCTTTCAGAAACAGCCTGAAAACTGGATTTTAATTCAAGCTCAGCTTGACTTCTGAACTATGCAGAGTAAGAGACTTTGGTGATATAAAATGGGAAAACAGTTGATTAAGTCTCATCTGAGTTTTAAAAGCCAAATGCTCAGAAAAGTTCTAGTCATTTGCAATAATCACGTTTCCATCTATCTTGATGAAATGAGGTAATGCTGAAGCTCAGAATGATTCTCAGCTCTGGAAGGTATTTCATATTGTATAAAATCTTCAGAGAGGTGCTGAGCAGAGCAGCTTCTTAATCATGAATATTAAGAACATAGAATTTTTTTGTTGTAATTGCTCCTTTTCTTTTCTTAACAAGAAGAGTCAAACTCTGTAAAATATTTGAAGAGATTTATTCTGAGCCAAATATGAGTGACTATGGCCTGTGACACAGCCCTCAAAAGGTCCTGAGAACATATGCCCAAGATGGTTAGGATACAGCCTGGTTTTATGTATTTTAGAAAGTCATGAGACATCAATCAAATACATTTAAGAACTACATTTGTTTGGCTCAGAAAGGCCAGACAACTCAAAGCTGAGGGGCGGGGTGGGAGACTTCCAGGCTATAAGGTAAATTTAAATCTTTTCTGGTTGACAATTGGCTGATTTTATCTGAAGATCTGGGATTAATGGAAAGGAATGTTCAGGTTAAGGTAAAGGATTGTGGGGACCAAGTTTAATTGTGCAGAGGAATCTCTCAGATAGCAGACTTCAGAGAGAGAGCAAGCTGTAAAATGTTTCTTATTGGACCTAAAAGGATGCCTCGTTCTTAGTTATTTTCTGGATCTGGAAAGAAAGGGAAGAAAACAAAGGGGGAAGGGAATTCTCAAGAGAATGTGGATTTTTCCCACAAGAGACTTTGCAGGGAAATTTCAAGGTGTGGCAAGGAAATATATTGTGGGATTAAATATTTCCTCCTTGTCTCATAATGCTATGTCAGAGTCAGACTGAAAAGTAAGTCACAATATATAGGGGCAAATAAAACCCATCTGATGAGAATTTATGGTTTGTAGGGCATGACTGCCTAAATCCCTTAGGCAGGAATTTGGGCAAGATAAAAAATCAGAGCTTAGTCCTCAGTTTGATGCTAAAACCCAAGGATCACCAATGAATTTTAAATAAAAAAGGCTATGATTTCTAAAGATGTTTCAGGAGGAAGAGAAATGTAGTGTGCTCAAATATATATTCTTTGACTTTCAACACTAGGATTCTTTTTTCTCTCTTCATGTACTTAAAATCATTTTCATAATACTTTCATATCTTCTAAGCAGAATATATGAGAACAGTAGGGGATCCCAGCATTTACTTCATTGGGTTAGAACTAAGATTTCTCACCCTGGTGCCTGTGGTTACTGAAGAGGCTCACTTTCCCCAGAGAAAAACTCTGCATACATCTGCATCCAGAGCCAGTATTAATCTAGTTGGCTCCCATTTTATAAATCACCTTTTGAGACCTTTCTTAAAATTTATAAACACCATATTAGTTTTCCTTGCATGTAAAAATCAAGTAATAATGTCAATGAAGTCATATACATGCTTATTATATACTAGAATCTGTTCTAAATGCTTCATGTATGTTAATTCATTAATTATCACAACTATCTATGAGGTATGTGAGGCACAAAGAAGTTAAGTAACTTTCTCAAGGTGACACAGCTGGCAAACAGCAGAGCTGGAGTTTGAGGCTCTGGAAGTCACTACAATGTACTGTCTCCATATGAATACTATTGTTTCTTGGGGTAGCAGAATAAACATACATTGGCTCAAACAATAAAGTCACAATGGCTTTAGGGTGTCTCTCTCTCCAGCCCCTTACTAGTTAATCCTTAGGTGAGGGTCTGTATTCACATACAGGTGTATAAAGATTGTGTTATACCACTGTGGAGAGATAAAAATAATGCACTGAATTGATTACAAAAGATTTGCATGGGCATCTTAGCATTGCAAGATGGGCTTAAGGCTGGGACAGCTGGACCAACAAATAGAACCAGATACTCAGATGTGTTTTCTGGGAACAAATTGAATATATGAAGATTCTGACATTTCCATTCAAAAGCAACTTTAAATCACCAGAGATGATCCAAACTCATTTATAACATGAGGAATAAAAACAAAAATTCGAAACTCCACCCCAACACACATCACTCCCCAATTCCATTCAAAGTGGCCAATTTCCAGTTCAGAAAAACAATCTCACCCCAAAGCAGCTGTATCAGTGCCAAGACCTAATCAAGAAGATTGGCTGTGCAAAGAAATGATCAAACATCTGTCAAGAATCAGTACTAATTAATGTGGGAAACATCATTTAAATGGCCATTTGGACTTGCAGACCTGGCAGCACTTGGACTTACCCTTCATCAATTTAACAATGAGCTCTTGGAGGAGCAAAGATCACATCTCACACGTCTTTGTATATCTCTTAGTGTCTGACACACAATAGGCAATCTAGAAATATTTATTAACTTGAGTTGATGCTATAAATGCTATAAAATGTTAGAGAAGTATATCATGTGCAATTTGTGATTATATTCACATTGACGATCTCAGAATTGCATGATTTTGGGAAATCACTTCCTCTCTCTGCACCTATATTTTCTCATCAGGAAAATGAAGAATTGGATTATAGGATCTCTAGGGACTTTTTTCTAGCTCTGAAAGCCTAAGTTCAGATCAGCAGTGTATGTCCCAACATGGGGGAGACTGAATGTCAAGGTCATGTTCTTATTTGTCTTAAGGGCTGAGTTCAACCTTATCTCTGAAGTAGAAGGTAGCAGGGATGTGGTAGCTGACTTATCAACAGTGAGATTTACACATTTTTCCTTATTACAAACTGCAAGTCAGTCAATGAGGCAATGTCTATATATGCAGTGAAAAATGGAAACTCCTGAGCTGTGAGCCCCTATCCTGTACATTGTATGCTTTTGGACCTCCAGTTAAAAAGAAAGGAGAAAAACTCATATCTTCCAGTAGAGGGAGCCAGATTTAAACATTAACCAGACCAGTTCATTCCATGGCACTGTTTGCCAGATCTACAAAGAGAAAACTTGTATTTTGATAAGGAATCCTCATTTCTGAGTCTTACATTAGTAAAAACTGTTTATGAGACCAACTCTAATTCTCCAAAGGATTTCTCTCGGTAATAAATTTTTTTTACCCTTCTCTATTCATTTCATCAAAAGTGGTAGGAGTTTTATCAATTTTTTTAGCCTATAGGTATCTGAGTTCAAATTCAAATAAAAATACAGATCTCTGAAGGTGTTACTACAGCTTAGTTATTTCTTAAAGTGGGAATATTTTTATTAGTTCTTCATTGTGCACTGCTTACAAGTCAAGAGAAAAATCTGTTAAGAATAGCATTTTGGTTTGAGACCATCCTGGGCAAGATGGCGGAATTCCATCTCTACAAAAAGTACAAAATTATGGCAGGGCATGGTGGCTCATGCTTGTAACCCCAGGATTTTGGGATGCCAAGGCAGATCACCTCAGGCCAGAGTTTGAGACCAGCCTGGCCAGAAGTGTGAAACCCCGTCTCTATTAAAAATACAAAAATTAGCTGGGCATAGTGATGCATGCCTGTGGTCCCAGCTACTAGGTAGGTTTAGGTGGGAGGATCGTTTGAGCCCAGGAGGTGGAGGTTACAGTGCAGTGAGCTGATATCACACCCCTGCAATCCAGCCTATGCAATGAGCAAGACCCCTGTCTCAAAAATAAAAAAATAAAAATAAAAAGCATTATGAGTTGAGTATGAGAGAGAGAAGACAGCTTATGGAATGCAGGCCTTATTCCCTTGTGTAGGGAAGTTTATACACTTTTAAATAATGAGGACTCATCCCTTGGGAATAGTTTATGGGCTGAATTGTGCCTCCTGTGTCCCCCTTAAAAGTCATATTGAAGTCCTAACCCCCAATGCCTCAAAATGTGATCTTATTTGGAAATAAGGTCTTAGAGATGTAACTAGTTAAGACAAGTTCATACAGAAGTGGGATGGATCCCTAATCCAATGTGACTGGTATCTTTATAACAAGGGGGAATTTGGGCACAGATACATGCACAGCGAGAACGCCATGTGAAGAGGAAGGCAGAGATCGGGATGATGCCACACACCGCCAAAAGCCTGGAGAGAGGCATGGAACAGAGTCATCCTCACAGCCTCAGCAGAAAAAGCTGCTGACAGCTGGATCTCAAATTTCTGGCCTCCAGAACTGTGAGACAAATTTCTGTTATTTAAACCCTAGCAAACTAAAACAGGGAGTTATTTCATTCTGTTGTGGTGTTTAGAATAAATGTATTCTTTCTAAATGTCATTTCCAGTTTCTTTTCAATTTTTTAAACAAAAAAAACTTTTAATATTTCAAAGAAACAAAGGCATTGTAAGAGCTAGAAAATACAGATAAACAACAAGAAAATAAAAATATCATATTCCCACAAACCAGATAGTAGCCCTTTAAAATCTTATTATATATCCTTTCAGATCATTTTTATACATTTATAAGCATAAATGATTTTTGTCAAAATTCTATTGCACATGTTTTATATTCTGTTTTACTGACTGATGATCAACATCTTTCCACATCAATAAATTTTCATTTTTCTCATATCCAGTCCATAGTCTAATAACTTCAATAGTCACGGAATTTTTTTACAATTGCTTGATCCAAACAACAATGCAATCCAGCTTCCTCTTCTAATCTACCAGAATTCTTTTTTGTTCTTCTAAACCTCACTGACTTGTTAAATAAGCTGGTGAACTGTCCTACAAAATGTCCCATCTTCTCAATCTATCTGGTTGTTTCCTTGTGGTGCCATTTAGTTTACTCTTATATCCTTTGTGTTTCCTATAAACTGAAAGAACAGCTCAATGTATTCAAGTTAAACATTTAGTTAGACGACATCATAGGTGATATTATACAATCTCACGTCAAACATTTTCAAGTGGTAGTCTGGTAAAATTCTCAAAATAGAATGTTAATTAGAATATAGATATTTACATATTATGTAAATGCATTTTCTCTAAGGGAGGAAATAGTAAAAGATGTTTTCTGAATATGATCATATGCAAGGCAATAGAAAGCTCCTGAATATACCTATTAATTTGCTTTCTACAAGGAAAGATACGAAATATGTATTCCTAAACACAAATCAAAGTCACCTATTTAGGTTTTCTAAAAATTTCAAAAGACTTCCTTGACCTCATCCATTTTATTAACTTTCTATTCCATGTACTTCAGAAATACATCATTCATTTATTCATTTGCTTATAAAATATTTATTATTTACCATATGTCATACTCTATCCTACCTACTGAGGACACGAAAGCAGAATGCTCATGTCTTTGTGGAATTTATATGTCTCATTCTATTTGTAAGTCAGAACTGGCCCAGCCCAAAAGCTTAAACTTTATTTACATGCTGGCTCACATCCTCCTGGTTTTCTCACTTCCTCACTTCTCTGAATCTCATAATCCCACCCCACTAGGACCTACAGTCCCCTGGCCACTCTACATACCCAGAGTTGACTAGGCTTTCCTTCTTACAGAGTTGGACCCACGGATGGTGAAGCACTTGAGCTACTCTCTTACAGCTCCAACTCTTCAGCACTTGATTCAACACAGCCTTGTCCTCAATGATCTTCTCACTACACTTACTCTTCGTTTGCAAAATCAGACCTCCCTATGTAACTATCAAGATAACTCTCATAGCTTCAGATCATCCTACTGGGCTTCATTCCCATTATATAAAACTATCTGCTGGATGTCCCCACCTGGATGTTCCAGAGTTAACATATTCCAAACGGAACTCTTCTTCCCAGCCTAGATTAGTTTTGCCTTAATTATATGCTTAGAACTTCTGGTAAATGAAATCACATAGTATTTTTTGCACCTGTGAACTCCAATTACCACTTGCCTTTTTCCTACCAGATTTTTTTTGTTTATAATTGCTAATGTTGGCCAGGTGCAGTGGCTCACACCTGTAATCCCAGTACTTCCGGAGGCTGAGGCAGATGGATCACCTAAGGTCAAGAGATCGAAACCATCCTAACCAACATGGTGAAACCCCGTCTGCACTAAAAATACAAAAATTAGCTGAGTGCAGTGGCATGCGCCTATAGTCCCAGCTACTCAGGAGGCTGAGACAGGAGAATCGCTTGAACCCGGGAGGCAAGGGTTGCAAGGATACGATGGTTGCAGTGAGCTGAGATCGTGCCCTTGCACTCCAGCCTGGACGACAGGACTCCGTCTCCAAAAAAAAAAAAAAACTGCTAATATTGCTGAATTTATATAGAAGTATATTCACCACGTAAACAACAAGATATTTCATGCGAGTGGATTAACTTATGAAAAAACAAGTTTCATATCACAAGGCTGGGCTATCAATATCAGACATCGCGTCTCTCTAACAATTTCTCAGCCAAAATCTTCAGGTGCCAGCATTTATCACAAACATTTTTTAATGTCTACATAAACTTTCAATATTAGAATGGTTTGAGATTTCCTGAACAGTTGTGAAGATAGTACGTTTCCATATTCCTCTCACCCAGTTTTCTCCAGGTATTAGTAGGTTCCTGCATTGCTCTAAAGACATGCCTGCAACTGGGTAATTTACAAAGAAAAGAAATTTAACTGGCTCACAGTTCTGCAGGCTGCACAGGAAGCATAGTGACATCTGTCTGGCTTCTGGGAGACCTCAGGAAACGTAAATTCATGGCAGAAGTCGATAAGGAAGCCCCCGCCTTACACGGCGGAGCAGGAGGCAGAAGGGGTGGGGTGACGCTACACGCTCTTAAACAACAAGATCTCCTGAGAACTCAGTCACTCAGTATCACGGCAACAGCACCAATGGGATGGTGCCAAACCATTCACGGGAAACAGCCCACCATCCAATCACCTCCCACCAGGCTTCACCTCCAACACTGGGGATTACAATTCAATGTGAGATTTGGTGGGGAGACAGATTCAAACCATATGCATTAGTTTGGCACATTTGTCACAATTAAAGAACTAATATTGACACATTACTATTAACTAAAGTCCATACTTTTTTCAAATGTCCTTAGTTTTTACATAATTTCCTTTTTCTGTCCCAGCACCCCATGCAAGACATCACATGACATTAGTTCATCATGTGTCCTCAGGCTCCTCTAGGCTGTGGCAGTTTCTCAGACTGTCTTTGTTTTTAATGACCTTGAAAGTTTTAAGGAAGATTAGTTACATGTTTTGTAGAATGTCCTTCACCTGGAATTTATCCGAAGTTTTTCTCATGACTAGATAGGTAACTATGGGTTTTAGAGAAGACCACAGAGGTAAAGTGCCATTCTCATCACACCATGTCAAGGGTACATACTAGCAATATGGCTGATTAGTGTTGATGTTGACCTTGATCACCTGGCTAAGGTAGTGTTTGTCAGGAACCTCCAGGGTAATAATCTTATTCTCCCATTTTTTATACTACATTCTTTGGAAGAAAGTCGCTATGTACAGCCCACACTTAACAAATTGAGAGTTGAGTGGAGCTGTACTTTTCCAAGGGTGGAGTATTTACAAAAATTGTTCAGAATTCTTATGCATGGAAGATGTGTCTATTCTCCCCATTTATCTATTTATTCAATTATTTATTTACATCAGTATAGGCCATTTGAAGCTCTTTCAATTGACTCTTGTGTCCCTTTCACATATCTTCATCATATTCTGTGTGTGTGTGTATATGTGTGTGTATGTGTGTGTGTTGTGTGTGTTTACTCTGGGAGCACAAGATGCTCCAGGCTCATCATGTATACTCCTGGCCGCACCATAGAATCAATCATTCCTACAAGCAGCCCTGGTGCCACAAACAATTTTACTGAGTCAGGCGTCACCTCAAGCTGAGTAGCCAATGCACATTTTCTACTGTTTAGTTCTAAAAGTCTAGACATGTAAACAAATTTCATCATTGATATTTTTCCATGAGTAATCACCACTTCTACTTTCTCTTAGCAGCATTTGAGAAGGGGAGACAATCTGCTCATTCTCTATTCAGAAAAACTTCTCCCCCTACCCCAGAACTTCAATTAAGGTAAGCCGGTCTTCAGAGAAACCCAGGATTCTTTAGTATACCATCTGCTTGGCTATCTCACAAGATAATTTTCCCCACCTGATTTCTCTGAAGTACAAGGCATTAAATCTGCCTCCACACTCACTTCATTTTCTTTGATTGTCTTGTCGTATTTTTCACTTAACCCATTTCCTTTTTTCTCTTCCTTCATAGCCACTTTCTTGCAGTTATTCAATAAAAAGCAGAAATGCCAACGAGGGTTTTTTTCCTACCTTCCTGCTTTATAAAAGTGCTTTTTGTACACTCTGCTGGACTTTAAAGGATTTATAGAAGAGGCATCTTGAAAAGAAATGCTTTTTACTTTTTGGTTTCCCGATGTTATTTTCTTCAGTTGACTTCAACAGAAAAATGTTTCCGATTTCAATATTGCTTGGGTTTTTAGAAATATTTCTTTGTTTGATGTACGTTAACTTTTAAAAAGCCACTATATATGCTGTGCAGTCTTTTTTAAAGTAATGGCTCAGGGCTTTTCTGTGATCAATTCTTGGGTTTCATAAAAACGGCCTAGTCACCTCGTTAATGATCAGTGTCATATCAACTATCTTGTCAATATACTGCCATAATTAAATCTATTTGAAAAAAAAATTTTTTTTTTTTTTTTTGGACAGGAAGTAAATTTATTGGTTCATTATTATGAGAGGGTAGCACAGTGGAAGCCCTCATGAGTGCAGGGCCCGCCACTTGTCCAGAGGGCCAGGACTGGGGATGTACTTAACCCCACAGCCATCTGGGATGAGCTGCTTCTCAGCCACCATGTCTTCAAATTCATCGGCATTGAACTTGGTGAAGCCCCACTTCTTTGAGATGTGGATCTTCTGGCGGCCAGGGAACTTGAACTTGGCCCTGCGCCGGGCCTCAATCACATGCTCCTTGTTCTGCAGCTTGGTGCGGATGGACATGATCACTTGGCCAATGTGAACCCTGGCCGCAGTGCCCTGGGGCTTTCCAAAGGCTCCTCGCATGCCTGTTTGGAGCCTGTCAGACCCAGCACAGGACAACATCTTGTTGATGCGGATGACGTGGAAGGGATCGAGCCGCACTCGGATATGAAAGCCATCTTTGCCACAACTTTTCACCATGTACTTATTGGCACAAATTCGGGCAGCCTCCAGGGCTTCAGAGGAGAGCTGCTCATATTCATCCCATACCATGTGGCCACAGAGTGGAAACTCATCCACTTTTGCCTTCTTTCACCCCAGGTCAAAGATGCGAATCTTGGCGTCAGGGACACGTCGGCAGAAGCGGGACTTTGGGTACGGCCTTTTCTTACAATATCGGTAACAACAGGCGGGGCGGCGGCCCATAGTGACACCAGGATCTTCAGTGGCGTGCCAAAGGAAAAGAGAGAAAAAATTTTTAATAACAATGTTAATCAAATGCATCCAAAGAATACAATATTGAAAAATACTCTCACTGTAATTCATTCTTTATCTCTCCTCATTTTCCAATTACAATGTAAATTTCTCCTCTTCCAAATCATGCTAACTTTGCTTCAGGTTATCCCATTCTATTAGTTTTCCTACTTAGTGAGTCTACCTATCTCATAGACTTAAATTAATTTTAATTACATTTACATTACATAAAAATGCAAATTTTTCCTGATAGTTCTTGAGGTTAAGAACGGATTGCATAGAATCTTATTCTCAAAAAGGGACACTTATTAGGTACCTATGTGAATTCAACACGTGGTTATGGTAAAAGGTCTCTTATTAAGCCTTTAGCCTACTCCTACCCTACAGAATAAAATAATTATAACCTACAGATACTCAATTCTGCCTACATTAAAATGATAGACCTATCATTTCTATAGACCTATAGAAATGATAGTTTCTATAGACCTATAGAAATGATAGTTTCTATAGACCTATAGAAATGATAGTTTCTATAGACCTATAGAAATGATAGTTTCTATAGACCTATAGAAATGATAGTTTCTATAGACCTATAGAAATGATAGTTTCTATAGACCTATAGAAATGATAGTTTCTATAGACCTATAGAAATGATAGTTTCTATAGACCTATAGAAATGATAGTTTCTATAGACTTATAGTTTCTATAGAAACTATAGACCATACGTTCTATTGGAACTTAATGAAAACCCTTTCAGGGAAATGTAACATAAGTAGCTCTGAGAATTTAAAATAGAAGGAGTTAGCCATTCTTCTTTGTTTAGAAAGATAAGGAAGAGAGTATAGAATATGCCAACCATGATAACTGTTAAGGTAAATTTATACTTTATTTCATCATCATGAAGTTGGGCTTCTGTCTAAATCTGTTTACCAAATGAGGTATTTAGAATTTTTTTCCTTATTAGTAGAACTGGGATTTGTAAAATCTACTTCACCTCTGTGAAGTAGTCAGTAGCCACTCAACAAATACTAATTTTGTCCTTCATCCTTATTTAGAAATTACTTCGATCAATGTTTTCCCTAATGTTTTCCATGAAATACTAATATCTCAGGATATATTTATAGATATCTCCTGAAAAAAAAAAAGATTCTATAATGAAAGAAGCCTGGATTAAATAGAGTTTAACTGCTTTCTGTTCTACAGAATTTCTCAGGATCTTCAGGATTTGAATATGTAGGGTTTGTTCTAATTGGTGCTCTGGTTGGCCAGCAATCATTACTTTAAGAAAGATTTTAGTCAGTTCTACAGATGCTCTGACAAACTCAGGTTTTCCATATAGGGCATAAAATTTTCTCAAGCCTATTTTGCCAACTCCTCCAATTTCACAAGATTACCATTGAAGCCCTTAACAGGGCAAACATGTTAAATATCAGAATATTTTTAAACTAGGTCATTCCAATCATACAGATTACATTTTTATCAATTACCCAAGCATTCACTCATATGACAAACATAATTATTCTAACCCTTCAGCATTTCTGAGTGCTCATTGTGTATTAGACACTGGGTAACCCCCAGAGGAGCAGATATAGTCTCCACTCTCCAAGAACTCATGTGAAATGGTCATTTGACAAGCTGGTTTCAATCAAAACAATGAAAAATAAGAAATATTGGCAAGGATATGGAAAAATTATAACCTTCATGCATTGCTGTAGAAATGTAAAATGGTGCAGTTATTTTAGAAAATAATTTGGTAGTTCTTCAAGAGTTTAAACCTATAGTTACATATGACACAGCAATTCTACTCCTAGGTATATGTCTATATTGGGGTTCTCTACAGGGACAGAACTAATAGGATAGATGCATGATAGTTGTATATATAAAGGAGAATGTATTAAGTAGAATTGACTCACACAATCACAAGGTGAAGTCCCGCAATAGGGTGTCTGCAAGCTGAGGAGCAAGGAAGCCAGTTTGAATCCGAAAACCTTAAAAGTAGGGAAGCCAACAGGGCAACCTCAGTCTGTGGTCAAAGATCTGAGGATCCCAAAGCTGAAGGACTTGGAGTCTGATGTCCAAGGGCAGGAAACATCCAGCACTGAAGAAAGATGTAGACCAGAAGACTAAGTCAGTCGATTCTTTCCACGTTCCTCTGCTTTTTATTCTGGCTGTGCTAACAGCTGACTAGATGGTGTCCACTCAGATTGAGGAAGAGTCTGCCTCTCCCAGTCCACTGACTCATATGTTAATATCCTTTGGCAAAACCCTCACAGACACACCCAGGAACAATACTTTGCATCCTTCAATCCAATCAAGTTGACACTCAATATTAACCATCACAATGTCCAAGAGAGATGCATGCAAAAACTCATCCATGAATGTTAATAGGTGGAAACAACCCAAATGTCCATCAACTAATGAATGGATAAATCGTGGTATATCTATACAATAGAATATTATTGATCCGGAGAGAACGATCCAAGATGGCCAATCGCTAACATCCCGGGATTGCAGCTCTCAGGGAAGGCGCGGAGAACTAGAGGACGCCACACTTTCAGACAAAGTCTGGTCGCTCACGGAGCAGAAGATCCCCCAGTGGTGGAAACACATGGGTCGCCAGCGCGACTCTCGTGGTCGGCGCAGTGGTTCCGCCGGCACCTCGGCGGCAGCTCTCGGAGCAGAGTAAACGGGACCGCTTCCCCTTCTGACCAAGGTTTGGAGCCCAGGGAAGGCAGAGTCGCCTACTATGGAAACAAGAAGGAAGCCCAACAGGAGAATCCTGGGCAGAAAAGCACCATCAGTTTTAACGCCGCTGCTCTGGCCCTGGGAACTAACAACCTGGACGTCCACTCAAGAGACCTAATCTGAAAGTTGGTAATTTCAAAGACTACAGGAGGATAAATTTACAATGACGGGAAGAAACCAGCGTAAAAAAGCTGAGAATACTCAAAGTCAGAACGCCTCTTCCTCTAAAGATGATCACAGTTCCACATCAACAATGGAACAAGGCTTGATGGAGAAGGAGCGCCTCCTGATGACAGAATCACTCTTCAAGGAATGGATAATAACAAACTTCGGTGAGTTAAAAGAACATGTTGTAGCCCAACGTAAAGAAACTAGGAACTTTGAAAAAAGGTTTGATGAAATCCTATTGAGAATAGACAACTTAGAGAGGAGTATGAGTGAATTAATGGAACTGAAGAATACAATACAGGAACTCCGAGAAGTATGCACAGGTTTAAACACTCGAATTGTTCAAGCAGAAGAAGGGATATCAGAGGTCAAAGTCCAACTTAATGAAATAAAACATGAAGAAAAGATTAGAGAAAAAAGGATAAAAAGGAATGAGCAAAGTCTCCAAGAAATGTGGGACTATGTGAAAAGACCAAATTTACGTTTGATAGGTGTACCTGAATGCGACGGAGAGAATGAATCCAAGCTGGAAAATACCCTTCAGGATATTATTCAGGAAAATTTTCCTAAACTAGCAAAGCAGGTCAATATTCAACCCCAGGTAATACAGAGAACACCACAAAGATATTCCTCAAGAAGACCAACCCCAAGGCACATAATCGTTAGATTCACCAGGGTTGAAACGAAGGAGAGGATACTAAGGGCAGCCAGAGAGAAAGGTCGGATAACCCACAAAGGCAAGCCTATCAGACTTACAGCAGATCTCTCGGCAGAAACTCTACAGGCCAGAAGAGAGTGGGGGCCAATATTCAACATCCTCAAAGAACAGAACCTTCAGCCCAGAATTTCATATCCAGCCAAACTAAGCTTCACAACTGAAGGAAAAATAAAATCTTTTATGAACAAGCAAGAACTCAGAGATTTTATTACCACCAGGCCTGCTTTACAAGAGCTTCTGAAAGAAGCATTACACACAGAAAGAAACAACCAGTATTAGCCTTTCTAAAAATACACCAAAAAGTAAAGAGCACCAACATAAAGAAGAATTTACACCAACAAATGGATAAAACAGCCAGTCAACATCAAATGGCAGTAACCCTAAATTTAAATTGACTAAATTCCCCAATCAAAAGACACAGCCGAAACCCAACGACATGTTACATCCAGACCTGTTTCACATGCAAGGATACACAAAGACTCAAAACAAAGGGATGGAGAAAGATTTACCAACCAAATGGAGAGCAAAAATAAATAATAAATAAATAAAAAGCAGGAGTTGCAATTCTTGTATCGGATAAAATAGATTTTAAAGCAACAAAGATATAGTGGTAAAAGGATCAATGCAACAACAAGAGCTAACGATCCTAACACCCAGATAGGAGACTTAGATTCAATGAGACAGAAAATTAATAAGGATATCAAGGACTCGAACTCAGATCTGGAACAAGTAATCTTAATAAATATTTATAGAGCTCTCCACTTCAAATACACAAAATATACATTCTTGTCAATACCACATCACACCTACCCATTAGTTTAAATAAAACATTGATTGGCCATTATTAATACCCAATTTTTTTCAAAATAAAGCAATATTTCCATTTACTCTCCCTCTTTCTCTTCCTCTTTCTTCCTCTCCTTTACTTTTTTTTTTTCTTTCCTTCTCTCAAAAAAAAAGAAATCAACTTGTAAACCTCTAGATCCAGGTCGGCAATGTCTCTTTCATTGCTTGATTTCCTTTCTTCCCTTCCCTCCCTCCCTCCCTCCCTCTCTCCCTCCCTCCCTCCCCGCTTCCTCCCTTCCTTCCTTCCTTCATCCCTTCCTTCCTCCCTACCGTCCTTCTTCCCTTCCTTCCTGCCTTCCTCCCCCCCCCCAAAAAAAAGAATATTATTGATCCAAAAAGCAATGAAGTGTTGACATATGCTGCAGCATAAACCTTGAAAACACTATGGAGACTGAAAGAAACCAGTCACAAAAGATCACATATTTTAAGATTCTATTTACAGAAAAATCCAAATAAGTAGATTTGCAGAGACAGAAAGTAGATTCTTGGTTGCTTAGGACTGTAGGAATTGGGAGGGAATGGGGAATGACCACCAATGGATATGGGTTTCTTTCAGGAGTGATAAAAATGTTCTAAAATTGTGGTGATAACAGCAGATTTCTGTGACTATATTAAGAACCATTGAATTATATGCTTTAATGGGGTGAATTTTATAGTATGTGAATCATATCTCAAAGCTGTTAAACTTTTTAAAAAAGTTATGATCTTAATATTTGGAAGAATAATTTACTGTAGATTTTGCTTGGATTTTCCACTTTGGTTTAAAGTGGTTGCCTCATGCTTGTTTTCTGCTATTTGGAGTGAGCTTCCAGCTATCTGCAAACCTCCCTGCTGCTTTCTCTGAAATAAAGTTAGTTTCTGATCTATATATCTTTAAGAAAGAATTTTCCTGCTGCTCTATTCTTGGCAGTGGCTGTACCAGGCACCTCCATGGCCTCTCCCCGCCCACCACCTACATTCTATGCCCCCAGAAGGACGTTACCATTTCTTCTTAGCATTTTCACAAATCCGGAATTTTTCTGCACCTCTGGAGCACTGGTACCCACGGAATGACTTTCCTTTATAAACAAACCACTGAGCTGTCTGGGCTCTGCTTCTTGACTTGATCTGCGAGTGTCATATCCTAGGGGTTGGGCCTGGTACCCTCACTTCTTGCCTCATCTCAAATGCGTTCCTAATATAAATCCAATGGGCTGAGGTTTCTCTATTATATATTTATAAAGTAAAGTCCTTGACCCACTTCCCATCTCTGCGTTCTATCTAGGCTGGGATCTTGATTCTGACTTGAATTGAACCGGATGTGCTATATCTCCACTATCAGGATTTAGCCTCTGCCTTCCTCATCCTAACCCTAGTCACCAGAGTTGCCAGTTTGCCGCTTTTCTACCACTCTTTCCCCCTACCATACAACCTACTGTTTCATATTGTCCCATCTCTCCCTAGGGAGGTGGTCACAATGCCTCCATAGATGAGTAAAGTGTACCGGGTGGAAACTGCAGCAAAATGGCGAACTTAGTGTCCATCTAAAGAGAGGCTGCCTTCCCTCATACCCCTGCTGATTGTTACTGTATGAAAATGTAGCCAAGTGGTGCCAGATCTGCCATGTTTTTGAGGTAAAAGAAATGCTGATTTTTTAAGTAAAATGTCCTAATTAATAAAGTTTGGTTCTATTTTTTAAAATTAATTTTTAAACACACTGTGCGGACCATATAAAACTTATATGTAGGCCAAACTTAACTCAGAGAGCCCCACTTTGATGTATCTACTTAGGATCTGCCCAACATTCTGTAATTCTTCCAGCAGTCTGCACCCTGCCGTGGTGGGCTCACACCAATGGTTCCGACACAGCAATGCATAAAGGCCGAAAAAGGGATGCTGTGTAGGTTTGAATGAGACATTGATGTAGATATGGATCTCACTAACTTTATAAACATGAAAGATACAGTGTGATTTGGGGGTCTCAGGTGTAATTTTGAGGTTTCATTTGAATGAGACATTTATGTAGATACAGATCTTATTAACTATATAAACACAGAAGATATAGTGTGATTTTAGGGTCTCGGATGAGGTTCTATGACACATAGATGTGGACCAGTCAGGAGACAGTGTGGTCACTTCCCACAGAGGACATTATCCAGCGATGAAATCTGAATTCCAGCTTGTCTTGTTTGAAATGGTCTTTGACTCTGTGAGATGAACCACTGAAGTGCTTACCTCAGTATAAAATACTTTTACCTAAAAGATCAAGTCGTTAGAATAACATAGAGTTCATTATTCATCAACATTCACTCATTCCCTAACTGAAGGCAACTTAGTGCTTTTCACGGGGAAAATCCCTGCTGTAACCTTGACTAGTTTAAATATAATCTCTCTTTCGTCATCCTCCTTCTAACCCAAACCCAAACTGATTTCTAAGGTGATAGCTGATAGCAGACCCAGTCATTTATACAAAATGTCATGATAGTCATCGTGACGGTAGAAAATTTCTGCTAAAGTAAGTGAATCTTATTTTATTTTCTAGGCACCAGGAAGTGTTCAAAGGTAATGATGTGGCCATTAAAACTTTTTCTCCACAGAAAGAAATTATTAAATGATGAGTGACTTGACATCCAGATTTGCATACTTCAAATAGCTCTTCATCCCAGATATGTTAGTGTTAGGAATGATTAAACCTGAATGTATAGTTTGTGGAAGAAAGATAATCTTAGGTAGATACCTATTGTAATAAGTACTATATAATAAAATAACATTTGTATAAATTATATCATACTTAATGTATATCTAATATACATATTTGTGCATATATAATATACATATTTGTGTGCATATGGACACATATTTTAAAGCAGCAGAAAATTATAGTAAAATTCTTCTGGCACATCACATTTTTTGAGGAAACCTGGTATATCACATTTTTTACGTTAATTATCATTTCTCCCATCAAAAAGCTTATTAGAGGCAGTGTTCAATTAGCATTTATCAAGAAATGCTAGTTCATAAATTTATTTTTTAAAGAAAAATAACTATATGAAGCCCAAGTTGATCAAATAACTAAATCCATCCTCAGAAAAAGTAAAAGTTTTCAAATGCACTTCAAAGATCCATCCAAATCTGCTACTCCTATAACCCTGGGCAACAGTTGTGGACTGAATTCTGTTCTCCCCAGATTTATATCCCCAATGTAGCTATCTGAAGATAGGATCTTTAGGAGGTGATTAAGCTTAAGTGAGCACATAAGAGTGGAAATCTAGTTAAATAAAAATGTAGCCTTATAAGAAGAGGAAGAGAAGGAGGTCTCCCACCCCCATCACCCTCCTGCCAGGCAAGAACAGGGCAAGAAGGTCACAATCTTAGCAACTGTTTTGACTCATGTTTCTATTTTACAGAAATTTATTTTTGCATGATTTTGGAGGCTGAAAAGTCCAAGATCAAGGTTCTGGCAGGGTTTCATTTATAGTGAGGGCTCTTTTCCTGGCTTACAGACTATTATCTTTGTTGTTTAAGCCACTCAGTCTATGATATTTTGTTACGGTAGCCCCAGTTGACTAATACAGCCACCTACTAAACCTCCATGGACCTCTGGTTACTCATTTGTAAAATGTGAGGGTAAG